AAAAAATAAGTATATAAATAGTGGTGGTGCCTCTGGGGGGCGGCGGGGTTTGACAGAATGACTGAAAAGCACAGGAAACATGTAAATGATTGTTAAATAAGTATAAAAAATTTTTCAAAATTCCCTGTGCTGTATGAAAAAGATTTGTGCATTTTACTATATGTAAATTATATCTCAACAAAACACTGTAATTAAACAAAAAAATAACCTAGATTCTAGATAAGTGCTATGCAATTAAGTCATTCTACAAAGGATCCAAGACAAGATAAGGAGCTTGCACCACAATGCATTTCCTTGCTATGAAAACAGTATTAACTGTACTAAATAGTGGGTTGAAATAAACTGCGTTAGTAGTGACACCATTTGACTTACATTCCACTGAAAGCTCCCTACCTCTACCTGGATTGGAAGGGGCACTGTTGTAGAGAATAAGCCAACTGTGGTGGTGGTTGAAGGGGAGGGGGAGCAAATGGAAGGCCACAGAGATGACAGACATAGGGATCAGGAAAGGTGTTTGGTGAGAAGCAATGGAGAGACCAAGAAAAATGAGAATACTTTAAAGTTAATGATATTCATGTAGACTATTTTAGGGGGAAAAAAGGAAAAAGAAAAAAACAGAAAAGTGAGATGATTTAAATAAAAATAAGATGGTAGAATGAAGTCCCAGTATATCAATAAATGCAAACATAGAAGGACTAAACTCACAGGTTAAAAGGAAAGACAGCCTGCATTTTTTTAAAAATAACCTATTTGCTATGTGTCAAAAAGTTTGACAATAAAAGGCTAGAGTATATATAAATATAAGTAGTGAAATATACTGTTATCCAGAAAAAAGAGGCCTTAAAACAAAAAGCACAATGAGGAACTAAAGATAGTGAACCTTCTAAGAAATGTCAAGTTCTAAGTGGCATATTGCTGCCATCTGCTGGACACAATGTTCATTTCTACTGAGTCAGCCACTTTAGAAAGTCCCAGTAATAAGAAAGCACATAAGGCCCTAAATCATACTCTTTTCTTAACTTCCTTTATCTAAAAGGATAGAGACAGACTTTCTGAATTAAATCTGTATCCTCTTTATGTTTGTGAAACTTAAGCCTTTGGTAACGATGCTTATTTTTCACAAGTTACAGGTTTATCCTATCTAATAAAAGAGAAACATGGTAATTAGCGTACATTCACTACCCTTCCCATTGGCTAATCAGCGAGATATGCAAATTAACTGCCAGCCAAGATGGCGGCGTGGCAGCGAGGCAGCTTGAAACGAACATGAGGCTTGCTTGCTTCAGTGACGGAGGAACCCAACGTTCCCCGCCTGCCTTGCTGGCCTCTGAGCTTGCAGTGTGAAACATTGTTACAAATATAGAAGCTAAACAAAACCCCAGAAACCTGCTTTCAGCCTGCAGGGATCTCAGAGCTGGAGTTGATACAGTGTTTCGATTATAGAACCCAAACAAACCAGATACCTGCCTTCAGCAGCAGAAGTCTCAGAGCTGGAGTCAGAGCTAAAGCTGGCCCAGAATTTTAAAAAAAAGAAAGAAAAAAAGGAGCCGTTAGGAGCTTCAGTCACCCGCCAGCCTGAAAACGGCCCCCAGCCCCTCACCCAGACTGGCCAGGCACCCCAGTGGGGACCCCTACCTGATCCAGGACACCCTTCAGGGCAAACCAGCCAGCCCCCACCCGTGCACCAGGCCTCTATCCTATATAGTAAAAGGGTAATATGCCTCCCAGCACCAGGATCAGAGGAGCTGAGAGGCCTCCCAGAACCGGGATCAGTGTGGTAGGGGGCAATGCCTAAACCTCCTGATCGCCCTGTGGCTCTGTGTGTGACAGGGGGCGGGGCCACAACCTCCCTATCCAACCTGCTCTGTTTTTGACAGGGGAAGGCGCCCCAACCCCCTGATCAGCCCTCCTCTGTGCCTGATAGGGTGGAGCTCCCCAACCTCTGATTGCCCTGCAGCTCTGTGTGTGACAGGGTGCGGCGCCCCCCACCCCACGGGCCCTGCTCTGTGTGTGATGGGGTAGAGCCATAACATCCCCATCGGCCCTGCCCTGAGTGTGACAGGGTGTGGCGCCCCAACACCCTGATCCACCCTGCTCTGTGTGTGACAGGGTGTGGTGCCCCAACTCTCCTATTGGCCCTACTCTGTGCGTGACAAGGTATGGAGCCCTAACCCCACTGATGGGCCCTGCTCTGTGCGTGACCGGGGGGAGCTCCCCAACCCCCTGATTGGCCCTGCTCTGTGCATTACAGGGCACGGAGCCTCAACCCCCTGATGGGCTCTGCTCTGTGTGTGACAGAGGGTGGCGCTGCAACCTCCCCATCGACCCTGCCTTCAGTGTGACAGGGGACGGTGCCCCAAACCCCCAATTGGCCCTACCCTGAGAGTTACTGAGGGTGGCATCGCAACCTCCCAATCCTCCCTACTCTGTGCATGACAGGGGTTGCGCTCCAACTCCCCAGTCGGCCCTGCTCTGAGCCCGACCAGGGGCTGCACCTAGGGATTGGGCCTGCCCTCTGCCACTTGGGAGCAGGCCTAAGCCAGCAGGTCGTTATCTCCTGATGGGTCCCAGACTATGAGAGGGCACAGGCTGGGCTGAGGGATCCCCCCCACCCCGGAGTGCACAAATTTTTGTGCACCAGGCCTCTAGTCTATGTATATAAAGAGCCAGGGGCCATCACATCTGAAACAACCGAATGGACAACTGAACATGCTGAGTGGGGCGACAAGGCCGGCAGGGTGGTTAGTGAGGGATGACCAAACGACTGAGCAGCAGGCTGTGTGGGGTGACCAAGCCAGCAGGGAAGTTAGTGAGGGATAACCAAACGACTGAGCAGCAGGCTGTGTGAGGCGACCAGGCTGGCAGGGGGTTAGTGAGGAAACCAAACAACTGAGCAGTACACTGCAGTGAGGTGACCAGGCCAGCAGGGGGGGTTAGTGAGGGATGACCAGGCCGGCAGTGGGGGCTGTTGGGGGCCACCAGGCTGGCAGGGGAGCCAGTGAGGGGTGACCAGGCCAGCAGGGGGGGCAGTTGTCCGACTGCCGGTTTAGGCCCGGCAGTCGGACATCCCCCAAGGGGTCCCGGATTGGAGAGGGTGCAGGGTGGGCTGAGGGGACTCCCTGCCCATGCACGAATTTCATGCACCAGGTCTCTAGTCTATATAATAAAAACCCAGTGGTCGTAACGCTGTAACAACCAAAGACCAGTCACCAGGAGGCTGCGTGTGCAGCGAGGCATGCGCAGGTGGTGGGCAGGGACTTGACTCTAGGTCCTGTGGCACGCTGGGACTCGGGGGTGTCCTATGATGCCAGCGGGACTCAGGGGTCCCGGGTCTCACGCAATTTCCTGTGGGTCTGGGTCTCGTGCGATTTTGCGTGCTGGGTCACTAGTATGAGTATAAAGAATTACATTGCCTGGCCCTGGACGACATGGTACAGTAGTTAGAGTATCGGCTTGCACATCACACATACCTGGGTTGCAGGTTCGAACCCCAGGCCCAGCTGGGGTGTGTGCAGGAGACAACCAATCAATGTCTGTCTGTCTGTCTCTCTCTTCTTGACCCCCCTCTCTCTCTTACCTCCCCCCTCCTTCCACTCTCTCTGAAAATCAATGAAAAAAAATATATACCCTCTAGTGAGAATTAACAACAAAATTACATTGCCTGAAATCTATTTGGAATTTAATATATGCACAAAGCTTACCAATTTCCTATACACCTACTGGAAAACCATATATTTACTAGTATATACTGAGTAAGTACAATGAGTCACTTTAAATATACCAACTACACTTTACTCATAGAGCATATCGTACACATTACTTGTAATGTTTCTTAAAATTTGCATGTATGGATGCATAGCAGGTCTTCTGGTACTCATCCATATCTGCTTCATGCCTTTCAGACAACTGGAAATTTTCTTAATACATAACATTATTTTGGATCAATAGTTTTACATGAAAATTCTATGTGCCATCTGCAGGCCAAAGCAAGTAACTGCACATTTTAGACCCTTAAGCACTCTTCCTCTACCACAATGACAAGACAGAACCTCAAAAGGAGATGGTAAAGCCCCAAGGTTAAGACAGCTTACAACACTTAAGACAGCTACTCGAGAGTTGTTCATACCTACAACTGACTTTGTAAAAGTAAAAAATAATTTTTTATTGATTAAGCCCTGACAGTTGGCTCATAATGTTACCTGAGCCTAGGGCAGTGGTCAGCAAACTCATTAGTCAACAGAGCCAAATATCAACAGTACAACGATTGAAATTTCTTTTGAGAGCCAAATTTTTTAAACTTAAACTATATAGGTAGGTACATTGTTATTAACTTAATTAGGGTGCTCCTAAGGCTTAGGAAGAGCCACACTCAAGGGGCCAAAGAGCCGCATGTGGCTCACGAGCCACAATTTGCCGACCACGGGCTAGGGTTTCTCAAAAGAAGCACTACTGACATCTTGGGTAGGATACGACTTTGCTGTGGGTGCTATTCTGTGCATTAACAGTGGTCTGCAGACCACTGATGGTCCAAGAGGTCCAAAAGAATGGTGACCACTGGATTATAGAACATTAAGCAGCATGATCAGCCTCCTCCTGCACGACCCCCACTTTGTGAGAACCAAAAATGTCTCTTGACATTGCGCCCCCCCAGCTCTGAGAAGAATTAGCCTACCTTAATGTCTCTATGCATGTATGTGTGTGTGTGTGTGTGTGTGTGTATATATATGTATATATATACATGTATATATATATGTATATACACATATACATATATATGTATTACAAAGGTGTGAAAGTATATTTAATTCACATGTCACGTGACACAAATATATGCTTTACTGTGTATAAAGATCAGATGTTTTATAGGCCCTTAACATATATAAATTTCCATTCTCAAACTTGGAGAGTTAATTCAGTACCTTAAAAATAACCCCATCAGTATCACAAGTCTCTCTACAGTAAGATAAACCGTTCCAAAAGTGTATAGAAACCATACGTACTATGCTGTTCATTTCAGAGGACTCATAGCTCCCAACTGGGTGGACATTTCCAATGGGCTCCAAGCCCTCTTCATCCCACATGTATGTTCCATCAGAGCTATCAGATGGAGAGAGTTCAAAGGAAGAACCAGCTCTGTAATCTGTATCTGGTGAAATCAAGTTACTCCCAGAAGTATGTTTTGTACATTCACTCCTGTCTTCGATTTGATTTTTTTTAAAAGAGAGAGAAAAGAGTTATTAATTCACAAAAATATAATTATTTCTCAGGTTCCAATAATATCACTTATTTTTATAAATATTATAAAATAAAAATGTGATATATTATAGCAAAAAGCATGAATAAATGTAGCATTTTCTAACTTCTAAACAATAAATAAATCCAGAGGTAAAATTTCAAAAATAACCTACTGAAATGTTTCCCAATATAAAGAAAATTCACTGAGCCATCTTTCACTTCTGCAACATTTCTAAAAATGTAAGTAAAGCCTAATATTCCTTTAATAGTTCCTAATATATTTACATTTAAGCACTGGCTAGAAAACTCCTTCCTCCATGTATATCATTTAAGTTTCCAGTTGCCTCCTTATAAGGAAAAAAGTTGTTCAGGCAGTCATTCCTAACTAGAAGATTCTCAGGCAGTCAAGGGTTATATACATCTCTAAGTATGGCCTAGTGCAATGATGGCGAACCTATGACACACGTGTCAGAGGTGACCCGCAAACTCACTTTTTTGGTTGATTTTTCTTTGTTAAATGGCATTTAAATATATAAAATAAATATCAAAAATATAAGTCTTTTTTTACTATGGTTGCAAATATCAAAAAATTTCTATATGTGAAACGGCACCAGAGTTAAGTTAGGGTTTTTCAAAATGCTGACATGCCAAGATCAAAAGGTTTGCCATCATTGGCCTAGCGCCTTGACCAGGCCACATGCCTTACCCTACCCCTTCAGTTTGTTCTATTTTCAGGCTATTTGAGCACACGGATAAATTTTCTGTGGCATTTAGTGCTAAGATAGCCAAAAATAAGGAAATGTTTAACATGTGCCATCTCACTTTCCTCAATTAAAAAAATAAAAGTCCTCTGAAAGTATTAACTATAGCCCTGGCTGGTTTGGTTCAGTAGACAGAGCATCAGCTTGTGGACTGAAGAGTCCCAGGTTTGATTACAGTCAAGGGCACATGCCCGGGTTGTAGGCTCAATCCCCAGTGGGGGTCGTGCAGGACACAGCCAATCAATGATTCCTTCTCATCATTGATGTTTCTATCTCTCTCTCCCTCTCCCTTCCTCTCTGAAATCAATAAATATATATTTTTTAAAAATATTAACTATAAAAAGTTTGCTATAACAAGAAATCTAAGTTTTCCATTAAAAAAATTAAAATTTCCTAGGATAAGAAAATTCTTTAGATTAGACATAATTGCTCATTTACCTTTGGTATAACTTTACTCTTAACAAATTGCAATGATTTACTACCCCTAAGAAAAGATATGGTTTAAAATGGCATGCCACCTGTTGGGAGAAGTGGGGGGAGAGGGGCCTTTTGAAGTAGGTAGGAATAAGCCTGTGTAGGATAGCCAAGAAAGAAAAAGGTAAGAAACCTTAGGAGAAGAATGTTTTCATTGATGTTCTACATAAAGTGAAAAATACGATGGGGAACAAAAGTCACAAGAAAGAAAAATGTTGCCCCATTTCTACTTTATCTAGATCCATCCCTCCATGAAATTGATAATTTCATGGAATTAATCAGAAGATAACCCTAAATATAACTTCAGTTATATAATCTAGGAGAAAGCAAATAAACTTAAGGATATTAATATTTACCAGAGACACTTATATCTATCCACTCATCAGTTTTACTGAAGCATTTTTCATTTTCCTTGGGGGAATCAGATATATCCTTTGTTGGTATATGCTCATGCTTTTCTTCTTTGAGAGAAATTTCCTCTGGAGTTATTCTAGTTCTGTTGGAGTCTTCTATGTCTATAAAATCATCACTAAAGTCTTCACTTAAATCATTCTTATCAGAAGATGACAAAGAAGATAAGGAAATGTCATCCACATCATCACTCAGGTATCTAATTTTAGCATCATGCTTCATGGTCTGGCCATTTTCTGTTCTATCACTATTTTCAATTAGTCCTTGGTCCTTGTTTGTAGCTCTGTCCTTAGCCAAAAGTCCAGTATCTTCCCCTGCACATGTGCCAGCAGGTGAATTTTTATTACCATCAACTGTGATAGTCCCAGAAAATGGAGATCGGCTAGATTTCAGTAGAGAGGGATGAACCATCCTATAACCCAAAGTGGAAGTGACACCTGGGCCATTTGATAAAGCCAACTTCTTTCCACCAGCAGCATAAGGCCTATTAAATCCATACCCTAAATGTTCATGCCCATTGAGCACGTCAGACTGCTGGGAATTTCTTGTTAGCATACTTGCCCTCAGAGGCATTCTAATGGGTAGATGTTGGTTCTGATAAGGCTTAAGATCTGCAGCTCTACTGAAGGAATGCGATCTGGTTATAGATGAAGGTGAAAAGAATGAATTCTGAATGGAATGTGAAAAACTCTGTGACCTTACCATTTTTTCACAAGTAAGAGATTTCATATTATCTAGGGTGTGTGCTAAGCTTTCTCCAGAACTGCTTCTGGTAGCACAGGAGTTTGCTCTAGGCCTCTTTATGCTACCAGCTGATCGATTCACATAGAACCCACTCAACTGCGATGTTGGAGCACTGACTAGAGAATATGAAGTCCTTCCTAATATCGTGCCTTTGGTGAATTTACCCAAATCGGATGGTCCAGACAAAGACTTTTGTTTTAATTCCTCTGTAGATGACACAAACATAGTGGACGGCTTCGCTAAGTTTGATGTAAAAGAAACACTCTTCAAATCTCCCTTTATCCCATTTTTAGCAAACATTCCTTGAGCAGGTGCATGTTTTTCAGGATCAATTACTTTATCATGTGAACTTTGAGTACCATTAGGTTCCTCAGCACTTGGTGCACCAAGTTGGTACTTAGCTGTTGTTCTCCAATTAAATGAATGGGATGATGGACAATCAGAGCCATTATTTTTGATGTAACTTTTGATGCTGCTAGTTTTGGAAGTTCCCAATAAATTAACAGGTGTCCCACTTGGCATTGGCTGCAGTGTACTTCTCACAGATTTTGTTCCATACTTTGGCAACTTGGAACCCAAATATGTCTTGATTTGTGTTTTTTCTTCCATGAGCTATAAGGTACATTTGTTCTTAAAATTTGACAGAATCTGAGGAGAGAATAAAAATAGATTAAACATTCCTAAATAAGGATAATTACATTGATTGTTACATAATGTGAATGCATATTCTTATATAGTTAAATGCAGCAAAGCCCAAAAGCTACTCATCCTATATAATAAAAGCCCAATATGCAAATTGACCAAACAGCAGAACAACTGGTGAAACAACTGGTCGCTATGACATGCACTGACCACCAGGGGGCATATGCTCAACACAGGAGCTGCCCCCAGCCAGCAGGCCCCAGTCCAGCTAAGGTGGATGCCTGCAGGGAGAGGGCCATCCCCTCCCCCACCCATTGCCCCGCAGATGGGCCCTGATCACTGGCCAGGCCTAGAGACCCTACCCATGCATGAATTTCATGCATCAGGCCTCTAGTGATTCTTATAAGACTCTTAATAAATACTGAATGCAATAATTAAATTTAACTTTATGATAGGAGAAAATGAACACTTTTATAAACCTAGACTATGGATGATAGCAAAATCAATAATAAAATTAGACTACCAAAGGCTATTTAAAAGAGCAACAAAAAACATACTTCTATAGCATATATTTTAATTTTTACCCAAATTACTTTTTTCACTTTGGGTAATATCTCCTTTAAAAATACTAAAGTGATTTTTTTTATAAGCATACATGATACATTATAGAAACTATAATACATTTTTTAAACTTTTATTATTCAAGTCATTGGAAGAATGTAGAAAAAGAATACAACAGCACCAAAAGTCTGATAGCATTAAAGGCTGAGATATCAGCTGTCATTTTTTTAAATATATTTTATTGATTTTTTACAGAGAGGAAGGGAGAGGGATAGAGAGTTAGAAACATCGATGAGAGAGAAACATCAATCAGCTGCCTCCTGCACACCCCCTACTGGGGATGTGCCCACAACCAAGGTACATGTCCTTGACCAGAATCGAACCTGGGAACCTTCAGTCCGCAGGCCGATGCTCTACCCACTGAGTGAAAACCGGTTAGGGCTCAGCTGTCATTTTAAGCAACAATCTCAAAATAATTTTTATCCAGTAATATAAATAGACACTCTGTTTAGTGCCAGTGTAAGAAGTATAATGATTTAATAGAGTTGGTTAGTCCATTAATCTGAACCTTTCCAATTTATTTTAAAGGTAATATGAACAATAAACACAAAAAAGGTTAAATGCACACACAAAAACATAAAACTAGAAACAACAGTTTCTTCTATTTGAGTAACTGCTTAATAAATTATGATGTGTCATATGATGAGGTTATAAAGATGAGATAGAAATATTAAAATGTTTACCCTAACATTAACAGAAATATAATATGGTCATTATACTTTCATTGCAGTTATATGCAAATTTTATAAAAGTACACACAAGAGAAAATGCAAATGAAAGAAATATGCATGCTGTAAGGTCACTGATATTTTAAGCTTACTATCTTATATTGTCTTTAATTTGTTAGTTTTATTTAATTAAAAATTTGGTTCCATGTCATCCCTGACCTTTAGAATTATCAAGTTTCTAAAGTGCATATGTGTTATTAGTTATGTCAAAAATAATACTTAGGAAATCACACAGACGTTCAAGTAAAGATGGTAGGCTGAAGCAGAATTATCAAATTTCCTGTCCCCAATAACTAATAAAATGGAAAAATATACATACATATGTGAATGTGTGTGCATTCTTTTTTTAGCCAAAATCCAGCTGCCCTGGCCAGTGTGGCTCAGTTGGCTGGAGCATCATTGTGTGCACTGAAGGGTCATGGTTCAATGCCAGGTCAGGGCACATACTCCAGGTTGCAGGTTCAATCCCCAACCAATCGATGTTTCTCTATCACATCGATATTATTCTCTCTTCCTTCCTCTCTCTCTAAAATCAATGGAAACATGTCCTCTGGTGAGGATTTAAAAACAAACAAACAAAAAACCACCAGCTGCCAACAAGAAACTTTAAACTAAAAACCTCCACAGCTGTGCGGGGGGGAGGGAGGGTTGCTGGGAGGTAGAGGGATTGAGCAAAAAAAAGAAAAAAAGAAAAAGAATTCATGGATAGGGACAACAGTATAGTGATTGCAGGGGGAGAGGAATGGGTGGAGGAGGGTACAGAGGAGATCAACGGTGATGGAGAAAATTAATAAAAAAAAAAAAAAAGAAAGTAGTGGCCAGAAAGATTCTGTACAGTATGCAGTATGGTCTGGCTCCTATCCTTGCATGATTACACTGCCTGGAAGCAGTAATGAGAAAAATGGGTGAGGGAGTAAAACTTGAAAGTTTTAATGACTATCTTCCAGTTTGGATAGAAATAATCCAATTTGCATGCCCCAGAAAGGTCCAGGAAAAAAAGCCTCAGCTGAGGCCTAGTGGACACCAGAACCTGTTTAATTCTAAGTTGAGGGAAGGGTCTGAAGCCCCTGAAAATATACTACATCTCAGCAGGATGGAGAAAGGCCAGTACAAGACACAGCAAGTTCTAAAGACACAGGAAGGAGAGCCTGAGGCACCAGCAGAGCTATTCCCCCAATACCACCTTATACTAAACAGAAAACAGAGAACCACACAATGCTTCAAAGTATATTCAGGGGGGAAAGTGAAAGGAGGAAACAAAGTCACAGCTAAGGTGGGAAAGGTGTGGGGGAATGAACCCATAGCATATCAGGGCAAATACACAATCTTGTCCTCCTTATCTAAGCCTTTACCAGCAAGAGAAGAAGGGATGGCCATTCAACTGTACAAACAAGGGGTCAAAGGAAGGGGAGAAACAAATGACAATAGCAAGAGAAACAAAGAAAGAACCCAATCTGAAAGATGACATAAAAAGGAACGTAAGGAAATCCCCAGTGCGTTCTGTGGACGAAAGGGGCCACATGCTAACCTGACAAGCTCAGAGGAGGCCTGCATGGCAGGCTTGCAAACTCAGAGACCTAAAGTCACCACAAAGGATGGTCTGAAATTAAACTTTAACTAAAAGCAGTTATGGTGGGTAGTCACTCCTAGGCCGATACCTTCCCTGACAAGATCAACCTTTACCTTAACTGGGCCTATGTGTCTTTTTGCATCTAAGATAACATATCCTTGAAATGTCTGGGTAACTTGTAACTCCCATTTTTCCGGACTCCTTGAGGCACAAATGTGTCTGGGCACCAGGACAGATATCACAAATTCCTTCATTGTTATTGCTATCATGTTCATTGTTGACTGTTAACTATCCTGTGCTCACCTAAGTAACGTGTCTGTCATTTTACTTTCTATCCAATCCCAGAGGCACCCCCCACCCCCACTGCCACTTGGCTTTCTCCCGCCTCCCTAACCTATTGCCAATGGACTTCAAGTAACCCACTCCTCCTTTGACATAAGATATCAAACAAGGTGAAAACAACAACCATTCTCTGGAGCAGTGGTCGCCAACCTTTCAGACCTCACGGACCACCCGTTGGCAACCACTACTCTGGAGCATTATCCCCAATCCATTGAATTTCTGCTTCCCGGAAATTGTCGACAGTGTAGCTCAAATAAACTCACAAAAATTCTTTACAGGTTTGAATGTTTTTACATTAACAGTTCTTTGTAACAGAGAACAACCTACTAAGAATATACATTTAATAAAACAAAACCTCAATGACTGAAGATGGCTGCAGAGAAACTGGAGGCTGCATGTGCTTGCTCCCAGCCAGGGACTGGATTTACAGGTAAAATACTGCACAATCAACTTGAAAAACCAAGAGAAGTGTAGCTGACTGGACATATCTAAGGGGCACTGAAGAAACAGTGTATAGACTAGCAAGAGGAGGGGAGTCATGGAAAGGGGGAGCCCCCTGGAGCAAGTGCTCCAGCTGAGAGGCCCAGTGATGTTGCCTGCAAAGCTCCCTCCCCTTGGGAGTGTGGGGTCTCAACCCCACGCAGGGATCCAAAACCCAGAGCAGCAGAGACTGGAATAAGAGCCCACGTAACATGTTACATGGGCAGAGGGAACAAGGGAAACTCTGCCTGCCTGGGAGACTGGGGCCCACCCTCCCAGTGAAGGAACAGCCCAGCCGAGAAGTTCACTCTGGGGTCTGACTACTGGAAAGGCTGCACTGCAATGTTTGGGTCCATTGAGGGGCCTGTGGGCTGCACCCAGCAATGATCTTGAAAGACCCTCTACTTTCTTGAAAGGCATGTGCAGAGCCCCAGATAGTGACTAAACTGTTTGGCTTGGGGAAACAGGAAATGATTCTCCCACCTCAGGTGTGGGGTTGGAACCTCTCCCCCTACTTGTGGAACCTCCCAGACTGCTCAGTCCTGTGGGGTTAGCAGCACAGAGGAGCAGGCCAGGTTGGGGATGTGGGGGCTGCACTGAGGAGAGTTGAGAGGACTAGTGGAGCTGGGAATGTCAGCCCCCATTTTGCTGAGATCAGCAGCTTGGAGAGATCCGAGTCCTGCACAGGGCTGTTTTCTAACCCCTCCTGCTTGGACCTGTGGCATGCGGGCACTGGTTCCACGCAGAGCTGGGATTTTTGAACTGTATCCCCTGAGAAGACTTCTATCAGGGAGATGGATAAGCAAGTGTTGGTTGGGCTTTGTAACTGCACTGTGGGGAGGTTGATCCGAATTCCCTGTGAGTTCAGCCAGGCAGCCTTGGGAAGGCGAGATAGAACCTGTCTTCCTGCCCTGAAGAATGCAAACACTACTCCCAAAAGGAGACTGGTTTGCTTTGTGAAGTCCCAGATACCCTCACTGGGTACCCTCACCGGTCGCAGTTCTGTGGGGGAAAGGGAGCAGCTCAGAACGGGCCATTCCAAGCATGAGACCTCAGAGGTTACTGTCTGGGACCAGGAGGAAGTGCTTACTCATCCTTCAGGCTGGGCTGGCAACATCCTCACCCAGAGACTCCTTTCCTCAATCCCCCTGAGCCCAGGGCAGCCGGAACTGCTCCTGCAGAGAAAACTGCAGGCTGGACTCAGCCTGAGCCTGCAGCAGGACACTTTAGGGGGAACTCAAATTGGAGTCTCTGGTAGAAACTGA